CCCCGCCGCGGCTCATCTCCTCCGGAGTGAAGCCGTTCATGTCTGCCAGCTCGGGGGCGCCGGCGCCGCCACAGAGCCCCGCTCTCCGCGCCGCTCCGCCTCCTTCCCCGGGGCGGCCGTTCACTCCGCACCCCAAGTGTGGCGGCGGCACGGTCCGACGCCCAGAGTCCCGGGCCTGTCGGTCTGTCGGCGCCGGAATAGTGGCCGCTTCCTGGGACTGTGATCAGGAGTGGAGTGGCTCCTAGAAAGGGGACCTCACTCACTGTCACATGGAGACTTCAGCAGTTGGACCGCGGCTCCACCGCCTCTTCCAGCCCCAGGACCTGCGCGAGTGAGACGCCCCTCCTCCGGCCCCGCCCCTCCAATGCCGCGCGGCCCCATGGGAATAGTAGTTCTCGGTCGCAGAGCCAATTTAAACTCCGTTCTCATTATGGGGTAGACGGGCTAGATGAACTACTCATCCCAGCGCGCACCGCGCGGCGAGCAGCCCATGAGGGTTTTTTTTTTTCCATTCCAAGCACCGGGCTAATCCGAGTATGAGGTCAGGCTTAACACTGTTTCCTCGCTTCTTTTCTTTCCTGCGAACAAGGGCTGTTTTTAGCTTCTGTTATGTCGCAAAGTTAGTGTTTTGGACGGCCAGCCGACTCCTGGGAAGAAGCATAAATTGTGTGTCAGTAGTGGGGTACTAGGGAGTAAGTGAGAAAAAGTTTATGGACTGTTTCATATTTATTAAAAAAACTCGGGCGATCTGGCGCTCATTAGGCGCTGGGTCCTGCATCTCCACCTCTTCGCCCCAGCGGACTTCTGGAGCATGGCAGGTCCTAGGCACACCCGTGTGCCCACCGGTTGACAGGCACCTGGCTGCTTTCCCCTCTACTGCCCGTTGAGTTCCTTGCAAACGGATCTAAGATTATTTAAAGGAACCTCGCTGCAGGACTCCTCAAAAACTTCACAGCGCTGGCTATAGGGAACAAGGAGAGAGAAAAACCTTTCTTGAGTCACACACATGCGTACACGTATGCTTGTGTGTGTCGCGGGTGTGTGTGTGTGTGCGCGCGCGCGCTCGCGTATGGGTACGTGTTTGTGCTCGCGTAAGCATGTATTCCTGCCTGAGCCTGTGGTGGGCGGGGTGGAAGGATGGGCGTGGCCGTGCCAGCTTTGCACCTCTGCTAATTGTTGGACTATTTAGCAACCCCACCGATTAAACTAAAATAATGTATTTCAGGTCGAGGAGTTTTGAAAGAAAGCCCGTTTAGACCTAGTCAATTTCCTAACATTTGAAACGTTTACGGAGAAACTCAAAGCTATCTGTGAGTTTCTGTTCTCAAAGCAGTGAAAATTAGTGAATACACTTTTATTATTAATGGTAATTTTTATCTCGTACTTGTTAAATTATAGATTAATATATTTAGTCAGTTGTTCGAAAAATCCAGGCTCTCATGACTTCCCCCACGTCATTTCTCCCGTCTCGGGGACTCTAATTCAGTACACGTTAGGTCTCCCACTGTATCCTTTGAGTTTCCTACCTAATCTTCAGTGGCTTTGTTTTGTTTTGAATTTCCTTTGAATTCTTTTAACCTGAGCTTGGTCTCACTTTGTCTGTTTAGGTGTGCCTCATCTGCTCTAAAATTCACCATAGTTTTGGGGTTTTGTTATTTTTCTTAGTCTTATAATTCCTATGTTGTTTTTTCCCCCCAAATCTTAAATGTCACCAATTTTCCAGTCCTCTGACAAAATTTAGAAGTTTGACTTTTTCTTCAATAAAGCTTGCGAGAACAATGATTTTTTTTAGACTCTTTATTAAGTCTGTTTCACTTGTCTATTGTTTCTTGTGATGACTCACACCTGACTCTTCCAATTCATTGTCTCTGCACACCTTTCGTTTTATGTGAAAGAAATAATTATAAAATAATTTGAGCTATGCTACTACAGAGCAGCTCCCAGTCCTTCTCTGTGGGGCTAAAAATCTTTAATGCCGGAGGTCTTCCTATACAAGTGGGTGTTCCAGTTCATACACCCATTGTGGGGTTATGGTCCTTCCTCTATAGTGAGTTACTTACTGTTGTGCCGAGAATTGAACCCGGGGCTTTGTGCGTGCTAAGTGACTGCCCTACTACTGAACTACAGTCCCAGCCCAAGAAAGACCTTCTGCCGTTCCTTAAGACAGACTGAAGTCCCGCCCTCTAAGTGACTGACAAACTCTTCGCTCTTCCTAATTTCTTAAGTGTCAGTGTTCGATTAGTCGGCCTGACACAGACCTAGATACACCTGGAAAGAAGGACTCTCAATCGAGGACTCACCTCCTTCGGATTGGTCTATGGGCATTTCTGTGGGGCATTTTCGGGGTTGTTGATTGATGTGGGAGGGATCCGGCCACCGCTGCTGGGACCAGCCGTGTGGAAGTGGGCCTGGACTGTGAGGAAGGAGGATGAGGATGCTGGGGGAAGCAAGCCAGTAGATAAGCTATGTTTCTCTGGAGGTCTCTGCTTCAGTTCCTGCCTTGGCTTCCTTTAACGACAGGCTGGAACGTGCAAACCAAATAAACCCTTTACCCAAGCTGCTTTTGGTCATGGTGAGAGAAGTAACTAAGATACCTGGATGTACCCGCATCTGCATTTTGATGCAATCTATAGTTTAACATTTTGCTCGGCTAAATCTGTGGCTTCTGCCGTGGTGGTTTGTTTCTCATCAATATAAAGTCACCTCATGCTGGAATTTGCTCTGGCTCTAAAATTATTTGTGACTAACTATCACAAAACTATTCCTTTTAAAAAGAAATTTAATGTGACTTAAAATGCCCAGGACCCCAAATTAAATACACAAATGTAAAGATTTGATGCTAAGATACAGTTGTGAGAGTGTAACAGTGTCTTTCTGGGTCTGGGTCACTTAGTGCAGCCTTTTCCAGCTCCATTCATGTACCTGCAGATTTCATGAGTTCATTTTTCTTTACAGTTGACTAAAATGCCATTGTGCGTAGACACCACATTTCTATTACCTCTCACCAGTTGGTGACTGTTTGGGCTGTCATGTCCTAACAGCTCAGTGAACACGGTGAGCGTGTAGTCTCCACAGCAGAAAAATCGAGTTCTTGGGGCATGTGCCCAGGACTGACCATCTGACTCATATGGTCAACCTATTTTTCATTTTCTTGAAGAACCGGTGCAGGGGTTCCCATTGTGGCCGTACCAGTTTACTCTCACCATCAGTGCCTGGAGGGTCCTCTTCCCCACATTCTTCCCAGAATTTGGTATCTTTTGTTTTCTTAATCTAAAGCCGTTCCGACAGGGCGAAGATGAAATCTCAAAGCAGCTCTAAGTTGTGTTTCTAGGGATAAGGGTGGGGGCCACTTTAAACATATGTCTTAGCCATTTGCATTTCTTCTTTGGAGAGCTCTGTCCAGTTCTATATCCCCCCCCCTTTAAAAAAACTGGGTTGTTTGTTCTCTTGATATTTAGATTTTTTAATTCCTTGTGTATTTCAAACATGCATTTTTCTGTCAGATGTTTTGCTGCAAAGATGCAGGGAAAAAAAATTGCTCCCGTTTCTGTTGGCTGTCTCTTCCGTCAGTTAAGTTTGCTTTGTAGTATAAAACCTTTTTAATTTCATGATGTCCTTCCCACGTGTTGATGGTCAGTCCTATCTGCTAGGTGACCAGAGTCTGTAGAAAAAAAGTGTTGGCAGAGTACTCGGCCAGAAACCGGATGTCTGTCTGTCTGTCTATCTCTCTGTCTCTCTCTCTCTCTCTGTCTCTCTCTCTCTCTCTGTCTCTCTCTCTGTCTCTCTCTCTCTCTCTCTCTCTCACACACACACACACACACAGTACTCAGGACCATCTTAGTTGAGGAGGTAGATAGACTGTAAAAGCCCGAGGTTGACAAGGACCGGCAGTGTTTAGCAGTGCCTACTGTACATAGCAGGACCCCTGCAGTCAGAGTTCACAGCCCCTGTGCTCGCTTGAACAAGACCTGCACCAGACCAAGCCAGACAGTGTCAGACAGTGTTTAACATGGAAGGTGAAGGGGTTCACAAGCCTCCTTCCCTAACTGAGGTGGTGTGGATAGTTGAAGGTGCCTCCCGAGGGACAGAGAGTCCCTTTTCTTTCAGGACATGTCAGACATGCTGTGGTACAGGCCCCGCCCCCAGGAGCATGTGGGTAGCATAAAATGGACTCGAAAGGCTGTAAACAGCAAAATAGGGAATATGAAGTTGGGGAGGCAGGGCTAGGGAAGTGAAGGTGGATCTGAGAGGAGTTCACGGGAGGAATGACTGTTGAAAATGATCAAAATACAATGCATGCAATTCTCAAATAATTAATAAAGTCATATCTGAAGTTTTATTTATTTTGAGACAGAGTCTCACTATGCGAATTATCTATTCTGGAATTCACTATGTGGACCAGGCTAGCCTTGAACTCACAGAGATCCACCTGCCTCTGCCTCCCAAGTGCTGGGATTAAAGACATGTGCCACTCTTCCCAGTTATAAAAAAATCCCAGGACCAGAGCTCAAGACATGGCTCAGCAGTTAAGAGCGTTAGATGCTCTTGCAGAGGTCCTGGGTTTAATTCCCAGCAACCACAGGATGGCTCACAACCTTC